TCTCTCATGCACTCCTTCGACCTTTGCGATATCGCGAGCTCATGTTTTTTTTTTTTGGTATAGGGGCTACTAGAATACTTTCATGTACTTGTTTAGCCATAGACTCAAGCTCTTCTCTCGCATACTGAGGACAAACTGGACAACCTACACGACCACACCATGTACACGACATAGCAATTTTCTCCCAGGAGCGGTTAGGGTAAGCCTTTCCCGTTGAGAAATGAGCACCGCTGTGCGTAAGTCCTCGTAATCGTTGTTTATGCCGAAGGCTTACAGACGTTCTGTAGAGGTTCCAAGTAATATGTCGAGGACCACCTTGTACAATGTTCAGATCAACGCATGTAGGGTTTTTAAATCTGTTTTACTAATCTTCTAGTAAGAGAGACAGCATGTTAGCCGACTGGGGACAAAAGCCTGAAGCAGCCTGAGCAGCTCAGCTTCCTAAAAACCTTGTCGGTGATAGCTGATTCTATAAATCATACGGGAGATCTGCTTCATCATTGTTCTTAGAGTTTTGATTGTGTGGTCCACTCGCTTGTTGCTTTGCAGCCACTGTCTGAGGACTAGAATTTTCTAAACCTCCGTGGTGGCCTCCTAGAAAGAGTTTGACTGGCTCGCGGATTCGGCGGCCTCTGCCCTAGACTCTAATAAATTCTGAGTTATCGGAAGCGCAGCTCATCCCACTGTGGTAAGCGAATTCAACAACAGTGGTCACTGCATCTTGTAGGATTTGCTCTTTTTGCCTCGAAGAGCCACTGTTGGTCCACAAGGGTAATATAATCCGCATATAACGCATAACCTAGGCCTGAAATGCCATCGAGGCTTCTTGCAAAGCGTCTTATGCAGATTTTGATAAGAAGAGGAGATAGTATCGCCTCTTGTGATGTGCCTTTTTTATGGGGGGGGGGGGCACAGGAAAGGGATTTGAGGCCGCATTGCTTAGGCCCAATATAGCAGCGTGAGAGATTAGGAAAGAGTGGATGCAGTCGTAGATCCTTTGCCCACAACCGATGTCATTTAGCTCAGATGAGGTGAGCTCGGGGGACATGGGTCAAATGCGCTTTCTAGATGAAGAGCTACGACGAGATGTTCTGGACCAACCGTAGTATTGGAAGGGACCTCTTCCCGAAGTAGCAGTAAAACGTCCTCCGCTGACAAATATTGGCAAAATGTAAACATGATAGTAGGAAAAAGGTTCTGATCGACAGTGTAAGACGTGAGACGCGTGTGAAGCACCTTTGCAAAATATTTTCCAGAACAGGATGCCCATGTTTTTGCTCTTATATTTTGTAGGTCAGGTGTTTTTTCTTCCTTCTGAATAAAAACAATTTTGGTTTCCTTCCATTATTCTAGAACCACGCCCTTCTTCCAAACGTATTCATTTAAATACCGAGTAAGCTGTTCCAGGTGTTCACCGCTCAGGTTCTGGATCATCGCGTCTGGTAACTCTTCAGGACCAGGGTCAGCGTTGAGCTTTGCTGATTGCTCTGTCGCGAATAGTTCTTCCTTGGTGATCAATGCGTCGAGCCTTGTGTTTTCTTAGCTATGACGAGCGAAAGTTAACGGGCGAGTGGTGACCGACCCTACGTACTTGTCTCGGAGCTTACTGATGAGGGCTTCATTTGTTTCTGCAGATTCCGCGGCAAGCTTCTTAAGAGTTAGCTTTGCTGCCGTTTTATTTTTACAAGGCTCAATTATGCTGCGCCGAATTGCTGATGCCTTGGAGGTATGTATGGTTTTTCGGAGTGAGTCGCGAAATTCGCCCAGCTCACCGTCTGCAACTTCTGCGCGTAAGCATTTGCCCGCTCAGATATATCAGCAATTCTATGGCGCAACTTCCTATCAAGTCGGTGTGTTTTTCATCGCTTGGTCAACCCTCTCCTGGCGTCCCACATATGTAGCAGATGTTTATCGACTACATGCGTTTCTGCGGGGAGTGCAAGCCGCTTAGTAGTTGGTTTGTGGGCCTGTCGTATGCGCATCTCCTAATCTTCAATTGATCGATTGATCGATGGATTGATTGACTGATTGATTGATCGATATGTGAGGTTTGATGTTCCAGAACAACCATATATTTATGAGAGACGCCGTAATGGAGGGCTCCGGTAATTTTGACCACCTGGTGTTCTTTAATCTGAACCCAAATTCGAACCCACGGCCGTACACAGCATTTTCGCCTCCATGGAAAATACAGCCACTGGAGCCGTAATTCGATCCCGCGACCTGCGGATCATCACCCGAGCACCTTAGCCACTATACCACCTTGGCGGGGCCGTTGCCCAATCTCCAGTGCTATCCGGTAAGATTTCAGGCATTTCGGATTTCACGATGACTCAGCCAGCCAATTAATATAACATGGCCATGAGATTTCCAAAGTTTGGAGGATGCTATCGAGATACTCAAGATATAATGGTCATTTCCAATATTCTCTTCTAGGGGGCTTTAGAACACCTCATCTACATTATTTATGAATGCAAAATCAGGAAAATGTGTTTTCACTGACGCTGTTAGCTAATCTCGTCGTTACGTGATGTGGAAATACTGTACCAGAGGATTGACTCCAAGTCCGGAAATGATGCAATGGGCATACAAAGAACAGATGTGAGCCGATATGAACAGAAGGAGTAAAAACATTAGAGTCATCTCGCTACGTAAATTGAATAGCCCCTGAAGCTCTTTAACACGTGGTACATTGATGGCACGGAACATTGAACCAGAACCAGTCACCCACACTGTAGCTAAATTGTAAACCTTTGTCCAAATAATCTGTTTTAAATTTCTCGTACGCAGCAATAAGTTCTTTTTTTTTCATTTAAGCAGCCTGCGCTTTTTCTTGGCCTTCTCCTATTTACAATAAGACACTTCAAGCACGATGTTTGTCCATGTTTGCCCCCCATGCGCTTCCTTCTTCGTAATTTGTAGATTACTGTCCTATATAATGGGGTTTCCCAATATGTGCGGGACGTACCTGCGCTAAGGCTTTTTGCAAACAAACAAAGCTGGCAAAAATTTTCTAGACATAGGCACTTTCACTGTTAAAATTCATATTGTTCAATGGGTGGTATTCAGTTGTCTCTCATATCAGATGGTAGAATTCATGATAAAATGATGTTAGTGCACATAGATGATTAGCAAGGAATGTATCAGACACAAAAAAACACCACTTCTTCCCACTTTCGTTCTTGTGTGCCCATCGAAATTATTCCATTCTGTATTCTTAGAAACTAGCCAATTTTACATAAGTATTAAAAGGTAGTATCTCGATTTGCGACGAAGTGACTGGACTCTAATATCTCAAGATGTCGAACAGATGTTTAGAAATGGTAGTGTTGGCAGAATGCAAGTGATGGCAACTTTTCAGTGAACTTTCTTCATGCAACTTTGGTAGTGAATATGGGTGATGAAGCCCTTAGAGAGCCTTTCACTACCACTTTTGCTAATGCGCGTGCACCGCACTTGTAACATGTCACTTTTCAGTTGCGAAATTTTCTACTATCTTGTTAGCTGGGTAGAACTGTTCTTCAGTTAAGCCAAACTCATCAATCTCACATCTGAGTTCAGACACGCGGTGCGTGTATGAACTCATATGTGAGATTCAGGAGTCAGGAGACACGCACCGCCTGTCTGAACTCAGAATGAACTCGAACTTCACAGTGCTACCTTAAGATGACAGATGCGCTGAGTACAGAATAACAGAGGAGTGCGGCTATTCTACACACTGATCAGTGAAGTGGTTGGTGTAGCCAAGGTGTGTGTGTGTGTGTGTGTGTGTTTGGGGGGGTAGGAGTGTTTAAGTGCCAACCGGCAAGCTTTAATTGTTTGATGCGTATGCGTGCAGGCACTAATACAAATATTCGCAAACATTCATGAAGTGTGGCTCAACAAGCCCCCCCCCCCCCTCACCCCAGACTAAAGTTTCCGCCTACGGCCCTCTTCTCAGGGGTTGTTGTCATATGGTATGATGCTGGGTTCAGTGTTAATTGTATGACTGCGGAGACGATCATGTGATCAAAACTGCTAAAATGTTGTGCTCTCCGAACATAACATTGCATAGAGGGAGATAGAAGAATTACAGCAAACAAAGATAAGTATATCTGCTTCTCAAGGAGTGCTATATTGTTTCAGGTTTTATATCAGATGAAGTAGGGACATTCAAGACCCTGATTGCATCGTATTTTTTTACACTCAATTTTCCTTCAAAAAGAAGGAGGGGCTTTTATAAAATCTTTCGAGAAATGTTGAGTAAGATTATCATTTTTATATTCACGTTCAGCTTGACCTGGCTGTTATAATTTGAACTACAGCTGAAATATTTAGGCCTGCGTCAAATGGCCTAACTCTTGCAGTAGCAACAAAAATATCTAGATATGCATGAAATATCCTCTAGTTGCTCTTAAGTTCGTGTAACACCCTTGTTTGATATATCTAGTTATAAGAAGGTACCCTATTTTGTGAGTTGTGAATGCAGACAATAGTCATTGTGCAAAATCTCAATGTTTTCAATTTCAACTCACGAAAATTCAACAACGATGCTGTTGCTGCCCTACCTGATAGACCACGCTCTCCCCACGTCATGCACTTCGTGTAAGTCACAGTTTGTCGACCTATTACATACTTGTCTTTTTTCTTTAAAGAGTTCAAGGTTCGGCTCGAATGGCACAAGGGATAAAAGAGCAACGATAGCTACAATATACGAAGTCAATTTATTTTAAATCAACGCTTGCATCCATAGCGATAATGTATGCTCACCCTTTTCAGTTACGTCTAAGTCACTGAGTTTTAAAACAGCTATAAAAGAAAAAAGTGCGTAAAGAGACGATTATTGCCTGAAAACCGCTGTTGCGAAGCAGCAAGATATAGTGAAATGGTAGAGTAAAACTTTCTTTATTTCTTCGGTGGTGTAAGAAAAAAGCCAATAATGTGCGCACTGAAAACAAAAAGAAGTACGCCAGGCAACAACTGGTGACAAAAAAAGTAGCCAGCTTAGCAACCACCGGGGGCATATATAGTACGACCAGCAGCATCTTTAGCTCACAACTATCGGCCGCTAACTGCTCAGGAAGGGGCTGAAGAAGCTTTCCACTATGCGGGGGATTGTCCTGGCCATCATTATCGGCCTCCTTGGCACCGGTGAGTGCTTATGTTCGAAAGAGCTTTTAAATTTTAAACTTTAGTGATTTTCATATTGCCGTTCCAAGAACCTTTGTAGCAGAGAGCTCAGTTACCTATCGAACACGCATCATTACGAATAATAGAATCTTCAGCATAACTGCACCAATCTGATTATAAACAATGTTTTGTAGATAATAGAGTATAAAACTGCAAGCTGAAGCCCCATCGTGATAACAGGGTAGCCTAAGCATCGTTGGTTGTTTACCTAATATATATAACTGCAGCTCTATACAAATGCCATGCAGACACGAAGAAATGGTTTATAGAAAACTATGTAGTAATTGACTGAGTGTAACAGTACTGAATTGAAGTGTCTTTCCTTGATTGTGTGTAGGCTTCCGTGAGTACTTTATCGATGCGCATAACAACAAAATGCGATGACAATTTAATGCAGGAATGATACTCTTTGATAACGACACCCATAAGTAATTTCTTTCTATTTACAGCTGTTTCATCCAGAGCTGCACCATTAGGGCAATATCAAGAGCATATCAGTCTCGCATTGGAACCGACCAGTGCCTCTGGGGTGACTGCACACAATATTGCGAGTGCTCCAGGTGGAGTAGTGAGCGGCATCGCCAGCGCTACATCAAGTTCTGTTCCTAGCGCGGTTGGAAGTACCGCCAGCATCGGTGTTATAGGAACACCTTGGGGAACTACTGCCTTCCCGTATAGTTCTTTGGCAGGCTACCCGAATTTCGGGGCCTTCTCAAACCTATACGGCGGCTACTACGGGGCCCACCCGGGTTACGGCGGTGACCTGTCTCACGCTTACGGACTTTCTGGATTTTATAGCCCATGGAGATACTTGTACGGCAGTGCCTACGGATCTCTAGGTTACCCTGGTGCCCTAGGAGGACTTCTGGGAGATTATGGCGTTCGCCATGGGAGCATAGGACCCCACACAATTCTTTCGGGTCTATATGGAAGGGCCCTAGGTCTTTCAGGCCTAGATGGAACATACGCAGGATTTCTGAGAAGCCATCCTAGGTTGTCCGCTCTTGCCAGCTTGTATGGTGTGTACCCAGGTTATTTGAGCAGCTTTAGCACACTTTCTGGATCTCTAGGAACACATGGTGTTTACTCAGGACTTCACGGCCTCTATGGAAGTTCACTAGCTCTTTCAGGTCTGTATGGTAGTTATCCAGGGCTAGGACACTTGCCAGGGCTTCTGGGTGGATACTCCGGTTTGTCAAGGCTTTCTGGTCCTTACACTGGTTACCCCGGATACTTGGGACGCCTTAGTGCTCTTTCTGAATCACTCGGAACACATGGTGTTTACTCAGGACTTCACGGCCTCTATGGAAGTTCACTAGCTCTTTCAAGTCTGTATGGTAGTTATCCAGGGCTAGGACACTTGCCAGGGCTTTTGAATGGATACTCTGGTTTGTCAAGGTTTTCTTATCCTTACACTGGTTACCCGGGATACTTGGGACGCCTTAGTGATCTTTCTGAAGCACTCGGAACACTTGGTGGTTACTCGGGACTTTCCGGCCTCTATGGAGCCTCAGTCGCTCTTTCAGGTCTATATGACAGCTATCCAGGGCTTTTGCGAAGATACTCAGCTTTGACAGGTTTTTCTGCTATCAACAATAGATATCCTGGCTACTTGGGAAGCCTTGCTGGACTTTCCGGACCACTGGGACCATTTCGACGTTACCCAGGACTTGATGATTTGTACGGCAGCTCACTAGCTCTCTCAGGTCTCTACGGAAGCTACCCTGGAGTCAGACACCTGTCCGGATTTTCGGGAGGATACTCCGGCTTGACAGGGCTTTCTGGTTTGTATGGCGGACACATAAGTTACCTTGGCGGTGTTAATAGTGCAAGTCCACTAGGACTACTTCGAGTCTATCCAGGACTCTCAGGCCTCTATGGAAGCTCACTTGATCTTTCAGACCTCTATGACAACCATGGTTATTATCCTGGACTTGGAGGCTTGTCAGGAATTATAGGTAGATACCCTGGTTTCACAGGTCTTTCTGGTCTCTACAGCGGTTACCCCGAGTACTTGGGACGCCTTAGTGCTCTTTCCAGGTCACTGGGACCGTTTAGTGGTTATTCGGGACTTTCCGGTCTCTATGGAAGCTCACTCGCTCTTTCAGGTCTATACGGCAGTTACCCAGGGCTTTTGGGAGGATACTTCGCGTCGACAGGTGTTTCTGCTTTAAACAGTGGATACCCTGCTTACTCGGGAAGCCTTACTAATCTTTATGGACCACTAGGGCTACTTGCGCGTTACCCAGAGCTTGGAGGTTTGTACGGCAGCTCACTAGCTCTCTCAAACTTCTACGGAAACTACCCTAGAGTGGGACACCTGCCTGGAGTTCTGGGAAGATACTCTGGTTTGACAGGACTTTCTGGTTGGTATGACGGACACCGAAGTTACCTTGGAGGTGTTAATCTTGCAGGCCCACTAGGCGTATTTGGAGGTTATTCCCCCCTTCTAGGCCTCTATAACAGCCATAGTTATTACCCTGGTCTTGGACACTTGTCAGGACTGTTGGGAGGATACCCTAGTCTGGCAGGGCTTTCTGGTCCCTACAGTGGTTATCCCACTTACTTGGGACGCCTTAGTGCTCTTTCAGCATCACTGCGCACACTTGATGGTTATTCAGGACTTTCTGGTCTCTATGGAAGCTCACTCGCTCTTTCAGGTCTATACGGCAGTTACCCGGGGCTTTTGAGAAAATACTCGGCTTTGACCGGTTCTTCTGTTTTGAACAGTGTGTATCCTGGCTACTTCGGAGGTCTTGCTGGACATTATGGACCACTAGGGCTACTTGGACATTACCCAGATCTTCAAGCTTTGTACGGCAGCTCACTAGCTCCATCAGGATGGCACGGAAGTTACCCGAGGGTTGCACACTTGTCCGGATTTCTGGGAGGGTACTCTGACTTTACGGGACCTTTTGGTTCCTACGGTGGGCACCGAAGTTACCTTGGAGGTGTTAATATTGCAGGCCCTCTAGGACTACTTGGAAGTTATTCAAGTCTTTCAGGCCTGTATGGCAACCCCGGTTTTTACCCTAGACATGGACACTTGTCAGGACTTTTGGCAGGATACGCTTCTTCAACAGGTCTCCCAGGTTTGTACAGTAGACACCCAGGTTACTTGGGAGGCTTTGGTGGTACTTTTGGACCACTAGGACTATTTGGAGCTTACCCGGGACTTTCTAGCCTTTACGGAAGTCCACATGCCCTTTCAGGTCTGTTTGGAAGCTATCCTAGTCTCGCAAGCTTGTCAGGATTGTACGGAAGCTTTCCAGGCCTGGGAGCTTTATCGGGTCTCCTGAATGGCTACTCTGACTGGCCTTATCTTTCTGTCCATAGTGGCCTGAATGACTTATGGGGATATCCATTGGGCGGTCGTGCTGGCATATACGGCTATGGAAGTTCACTTCATCCATTCGGATACTCCAGCCTTTACGGGCTCGGAGTCGGTCCATATGGAAGTTATGGCACATACGCAACTACTCTCGGTCATTCAGGAGTGGGTACTCTGGGTGTAAATGGATATGGTCCTTTCAGTAGCTCATTTGGATTTCCTCTGAGCTATAACAACGGACTTGGTTTATATGGTCCCTTTAGTTATGGCAGACCTTTCGGAAACTACTTCAGTCCATATGGAACATCTGGAAGTTCTCTCATCTCCTCCATCCATCATAGCCCCTTAGGAACGACAATGGTATCAAGTGGTGTCTCTTCTGCTGAAGGGCCAAGTCACTCACAGCTGCCTGAGATTGTAACACCAAGCACACGTCTTGTCACACCCGCAGGCCTGCCTGAATTACCAGTAAACATGGCAGCTACTGCAAAAGGGTATGTACTGCCATTACTGCCTTCCTCGAAGTTTTGAAAATGCATGCTGTTGGTCACAAAGGTTCCCAAATATTGTTATCACTTAAATCAGTAAATTCAGCAAATTGAAGTAAAAGAAACATTAACAGAGAGAGGAAGACGACCAGATAAAATCACTATTTAACATAAAAACACCTGTGTATAAGTGTTATTCTTACAAAAAGACTTGCTTTGACAAAGCAAACATACATATAGCATATGCGCTACTTAAAAAAAAACACGTTATAAGTACGATGTATCACAAGTAGCGATAGTTTTCATCAAACACAAAAGGCTGAGGAGATATCAGGTATTAGTTTCATCAGGTGCAAGTTGTATTCGACACTATCCCTGAGATATCTGTCAGCCTTAACGAAGTGAACCAACATACTAGGTAAAGGCTTTTTGCTTTACTACGTGAGTACAGCCCAGATATATTTTTGATAAGACATTCTTCTATAGTCACAACGCCATGTAGCTCCAATTATTGGCAATAGTATTATTCTCACTGGTGAAGACACTAAGCCTGCATTCCGCAAATATTTTATTCTGAAATATATCGCACACAGTTTTTTCGCTGGATAGATGAATCTGTTTAAATCTGATTCTTAGGAATCCAATGTGACCTACTTATCTTTATTATGGCCCTTTGCTACTTGTGCATGATTCACCAGAATTAACCAAGTAAGGGCCCGGAAAAGGTGGATGGTCGAATAACCTGAACAGAAAATGGCACATACGTGTTTTTGTTATTCTTTTTTTGCAGTGTGAAGACAATAGTCTGAGACCTCCAGTATTGCAACAAAAATCCCTGGTGGTGTTATAAACCGGTACGTTGGATGTCTTTATATTTAGCTACTTGTGTTTTCTTAAGGTGAATCAGTATTGGAAGGAGAAAGTACCAATTCTACCATGGAAATATGTTGATGCTAATGAGTGCATAGCCCATACCATTTCGTTGTGCCTAATATTAAACCTCAATTGAGTAAATTGGTGACAAAATGTAGTGACTATAGATCTTAGTTTCTTAAGATGATATTGCAGGGTCATTTTATTAAGTTTTTGAACTCATACGTAATGTATTTCTTCTTTTATTTTTCAGATCAGGAGCCGTGGTTTACCCAATTATTCATTACAGGCTGTGTTTTTGACTATATATGTGTGAAAGGGGAAGACCAGGGAAACTGGATGAACTTCCTAATTTTAAAAAATAAAGGGTCGGTTCTTGAAATCTTGGTTTTATGAGTCTTGCATGTAGTTTGCATCGAAGAGTCATAAATTTTGAGCAAGGCGTATCACGTATAAAATTTGTGCATTGCTATGCTATTTACACTCCTTAGTCGGAAACAAATAATAATGTGAAAATCTGGCATTATGTATTTGCAAGACTGCCTGCATCATTAAAATTACTTTGGTAATTTACGAGCAATTAAAAAGTAAGATATGCAATGGCAACTGCTTGAATAACTCAAGATCACAATTCACAGTAGGCGCCATTCTCTACAAGAAGGAGGACAATAAAGAATGCGAAGTTTACATTGTCCTGGCCTGATCGGGGTTATCTGAGCGATCATTATTACTGGCCTTCGTTTTGCCCCGGATATTTAGCCACAAATGTGTTTTTTTTTGCATCTGGGAAGCTTGCTCGAGTAGAAACCACTTCCGGTGCCAGCCGCGCTGATATTAAGTAAAGATATTTTAAACAAATCTCTGTTTCTCTCGCAACAAACGCACTAGAACATACACAAGGGAGTTGCCATGACATGGGTGTGCAGCCCGAACGGCACATTGGCCCTCATTATGGTTTTGAGCATTGTATATTGTAGTATTTATTTTGCCCCGTGGACCAATAGTTGCATTCTGGCGTGCATAGAACGGGCATGTGGTGACACACCCGGAAAGCAACGATACCTACACAAGGTTCACCTCGTCCTTCGAGGTTGTACGCTGGTGTAAGTTTCACAAAAATTGGGGGACCCTCAAGCTTCGTCTTTAAGGGTTGAACGCGATAGCTCAATCCAGCCCCTAGTTCTCCCTTGAACCACTGAGTGCATACGCTGAGTGCATGTTTTGTTACAGACATGCACACACAAACGCGCGCACAAGCACGATGTACCTATAGTAATGGTACCGGTTTTCGATCTATTTAACTGCACTTTTATAACAACTTCATAAAAATATCGAACAGTGATATAACCATATGATCCTGTAATATTAGCTGCGCGTAGGGGTGACACTTTTTTTTGTAAAATGGTCACATTTTGTCATCCGTGTTACGTTAGTTATCTGGGAATCGTTCTACTTGTTCTTCTGGAGACCTCTTCCGGCCAGCCATAACAAGCACCGCCTTATGATTGGTGAAATGGCAACTGCAGTACTTCACTTCTTTAATGGTTTCATGAGAATGAAAAACTAATTCTATGCAAGTTTTGTGGTTCGTTGAAATGGCATTTCTTTGAAGGGGCATAAAGAGCCTCCCACTGCCTCACAAATGGCAGCACGTTATCTAGCGTTTGCTGTTTGCTTGATCAACGCCCCTGGAAAGGCATCATATGTTTCCGCTAGATTTACATAGTTGTCCATTTTGAAAGCTGTTTCAAACTTCATTATATGTGGGGTTTTACGTCCCAAAACCACCAGCAGATTATGAGAGACGCCGTAGTGGAGGGCTCCGGAAATTTCGACCACCTGGGGTTCTTCAACGCACAACCAAATCTGAGCACACGGGCCTACAACATTTCCGTCATCATCGAAAATGCAGCCGCCGCAGCCGGGATTCAATCGCTCGACCAGCTGTTTGAAAGTTCTTGTCTAATATTAGCGGTTATGGCTGCACTCTACCGGCCTTTTTTAAACGTAGCTTGAGGCCTCCCGATTGCGCCTACAATTTGCCGAATGGGCTCGTTTTCGCCGTGACACCTGTGAAAAAAACAATGCGTTAAGGAGACTCCTTCCACCACAATGCATTTCTGTAGCAGTTTTTTAATCAGCTGCAGGTAACATCGTGGCTCATTCTACTTCTGGCCCTCGAATAGACCAGACGCGGGATGGCTCGCTTCTTGCGAGGTGTACAAACGGCCGACACTGGCCGGGATGAAGGTGGCCGGGATGAAGGTGTTTCGCGCCCTCCACCAGGCTATTGCTTTTAGGGGCGAAGCTCCTTAAAGCGGCACCCATTCGTACCTCGTCGCAGTCGTAGTGAGTAACCAGACTTATGCATTGACGTGCAAGGTGGTGCCGGTGGGTTATTTCTCCTCTGCGTTGTTGAACAATGAAACTTCGCAGCGTGCGCGTTAACTGAAACCTTAATTATCCTGTCTCTAACTCCCAATTAGCAGCCATTGGCATGTACAATGAACACTTTCTGACAAGAAAAGGTTGCTAAGTTATGCTCGCTGGGTGTAATCTTCTTGGTTTTGGAAATGTCTTGTAAGCGTTAGGCCGCAGTACTATGAAAACAGTGAACTGGTATATACCATGAACTCGAGGTAGTTAAAGGTGGGAAGTAGACACGAAGCGCAAGCCGTAAGAAAATGTGCGTGTGCCACCTCTCGTTTATTCCTTGGAATCTCCGCTGGATGGTGGAGCTTCTATATGCGGAATATACGATGAAAGATGCGAGATGGTGTTACTCGGAGTGTTGACTGGATGGATGAACGTTCACACAGACAGTTGCATGAATGAAAGCACGGATGGGTGCATGGATGGCTGGACGCATGGACGGACGCAGGGGCGGATGCATGGACGAACGCAGGGATGGACGCACGGATGAACGAGTGGACACACGAACAGATGCATGCGCGGACGGGTGGATGGACGCACGGATGGTCACAAAGACGGACGCATGGACGGACGGAAGCAAGAACGAATGGGCGGACGGATGCTTCGCCCCACTCTCCATCATTCACCCCGTGAATATGCTGCCATTTTTTTTACTGCCGACACTGCCGACTGGTGAAGGAATGAACTCTGCGTTTTTCTCAACGGAGACCCTTCGAAGAGACACTATCAAATCCAAGATTTTCGAGAACAACTTGAAGATGCAGGCGTGTTCAAGGTGCGTTCCATATGAGCCAAAGCTGGCTTGTCAAGTTTCGCACGTGACAGACAAAGGACACTGTGGTTGGCAAAGGTGCTTTACGTGTGATAGGTGGTTATTGTGCAATCATTGATCGTTAGAAGCAGAAAATTACGCTGAAGATTCACTCGGTGCCTTTCCACATGCCAGGAGAGGCTCTTCTAAAGGCTCTGACTGAGTTTGGTAAAGTGAAGGACGTGCGTCTTGACGAGTGGCGTGTTCCTAGATTTGAGTTCTCAGAATCGAAAGAAAAAAATGGCAGCATATCCACGGAGTGAATGATGGAGAATAGGGCGAAGCATCTGTCCGTCCACTCGTTCTTGCTTCCGTCCATTCATGTGTCCGTCTGTGTGACCGTCCGTGCGTCCATACGCCCATCTGTGCGTGCGTCTGTTCGTTTGTCCACACGTTCATCTGTGCGTCCGTCCCTGCGTTCGTCCATGCATCCGCCCATGCGTCCATCGGTTGGTGCAGCCATCCGTGAGTTCATCCATGCATCTGTCTGTGCGTCCATTCGTCCATCTATTCGACACTCCAAGTACCACCATTTCGCATTTTTTCATCATATATTCCCGATATAGAAGCACCGCCATCCAGCGGACATTCCAAGAACTAAACGAGAGGTGGCACACGCACACTTTCTTACGGCTTGTGCTTCGTGTCTACTTCCCACCTTTAACGGCATCGACATCATGGCATATAGTAGTTCACTGTATTCATGGCACTGCGGCTCAACGCTCGCTAAACCTTTCTAGAGCCAAGGAGGCTACGCCCAGCGAGTATAACGTAGCAACCCGTTCTTGTCAGATAGTGCTCAATGTACACGCCAATGGCTGATAAGGGGGAATGAGAGACAGGATAATTCGGCTTTTAATACGCACGCTACGAATTTTTTATTGTTCAACAACGCACAGGAGAAATCTCCCACAGGCACCACCTTACAGGTCAAAACGTAAAACTGCTTACACACTACGACTACGACTACGAGGGATGAACGGGTGCCGCTATAAGAAGCTTCGCCCCTAAAAGACTTGGACATACTTGCTGTCCAAGAGAGAAAGGTTGAAAACGAGAGTGGAACCGACCATATGGTTGCTCATTTCAGCACGCGTTATGACGTGTGTGTTAGCCATGGAATAGGTACCTCCACACAGTGTGCCATATTTATTAAGAAATGTTTAGGCATTGTTGAAGAAACAGTGGTTACCTCTTTGTATGAAAAATTTGTTCTGTGCGATTTTATCTATGAAGAGACAAAATTCAGAATAATTTTTCTTTCACACCAACAGACCCTCGTGATCGTTTATCTTTTTTCCAAGAACTGAGTCCTTATTTTAAAACTAATAGGCTACTGTTTGTTCTTGGAGATTTTAACAGTGTGTTCAGTGCAGATGATTTATCTAGCTGCTTAGATACCAAAGACACAGCTGTAATTACCTAAAAGATTGTATAGACAAGTATTCCCTTCAGGATTTTGCTTTCTTTGCTAAAGGCGGATTTCAGCGTCATTGTACCCGTTTTTTGGGATCTAGTTACGGAAGATTGGACAGAGCTTACGTAGTAATAAAGTTTGCAAACTTTTGTAATGATTATGGTGTTGAACAAGGCTCATTCAGTGATCACCCACTTGTTATGTTTTCATTAAGCCAAAAAGAAGCTCCTAAACGTGCATTTATATGCAGTTACCTCTTGAAGGCAAATGCCAAACTACTTAGTAACGTTAAGCATTTAGTTGTATCAAAAAAGAATTACACAAATTTAACGCCCTTGCATTAGTAACTGGTCAAAAAATTGGGAATCCTTTAAATCTACTGTGAAAAAGCGCGCCATAAAAAGGGTTGCGGACATACGGTAAAAGCAACAAGTGAAGGAGAATAGTATAAAGAAGTTACTTGAGTAATACAGCAAGACAGAAACAGAAATCTCTGGATTTTACAACGAAGTTATCAGAGATATTAAAAACAAGCTCGAGGCCATCAACGTCACTGAAATCCAAGATGCAGTTGTAAGGGCTCGAGTAGTGAAGTTACTTGCTGATGAATTGCGTAATCAGCAATTTCTTACTATGCGGAAAAAAATATGCACGTGCTAAAGACAATACAGAAATTGAATATAATCGTCAGTTAACGACTAAGCCAGAAGATATAAAACTG